TCCTAATATATATGGGTGTCAAGTGTTTATTTTCTTAGATATGGTTCACACAGATGTAGGTTGTTTTCTGCCGGTGGAGTTTCAGCCTGAGTCTTTTAATTACTTCGGCACTCGGGGGCGGTGGCCATTACCGTCAGATTTAGCCAAAATGCACATGGACATAGATAAAACGACACATAACGCCATTAATTTAGATTTGTATCTATTAATATATAAGAGGGAATAATAGTTGTTTGAAAAAATCAATGAAAAAATCAACAAAAAAAAGAGTGCAATTCCCGCCTAAATTTTTAATATAATGAGTAGGATATTTTGGCTAAAAAATGAAAAATTCCGCCCAGTATGTAATTTGAAATTTGTGGAGATTTTTTTTATTGATTTCAGCCTATATGCCCGCCACCCCATAAAATCTGGCCTATTTATCTAACTATCCAATTTAATTTGGGAATAAATACCAAACATTTGGACTCTTTCCCATCCACCCATAAACCCTAACCCCCTTGCCCTCCTCCCGTGGAGCGCCGCCGGTGGACTCTCCACCATCAGCTCAATGGCCAGCGACGAGAGTGGCTTTCACGCGCCCCCTTCCCCCGCCACGTTGCGCTCGAGAAGCAGTCGACGGCTTTCGGCACCAGCTCGACGGCTCCAGCGGCCTGCGCGAGAATATTCGAGGCGTCACGGAGATTGAGTCCGTCACGAGGATTAGCTTGATTTTTGAGATGTGTTTGCAATTTAGTTGAAGAACAAGGGCTTTTATTTGTTTTGTTTTTTTTTTTAAACTTTGATCAAGTTGGTATTAGATTCTTTTGTGTGGATTGTATCCATGTATCCCTTTTTTTTTTCATTTTGAAATTTGCAGACAATGGAACTATCGAAAGCAACCAAAAAAGAAGAGAGTCGGCTGGTTCTCAGAATACTATGCACACAGATTGTAATTTGGGTGGAGGCAAGTCTATACATGATTGCTTGGTGGATGATATGTACACTGATTTTGTGAATAATTATAATTCGAGAGGTGACAACTACATACTCTGGTAAGCTAATAAACCCGGTGCTGATGATAACCCCACAGTGCTTGGAGGACTGCCAAATTACAAGTAGGCATCAAACTAAATAAACCGTGTGAAAAAGACACAATCGCCCTCAAAATTTCACTCTTCTAAAAAATTGGAACCTTCTTTCTTGTAGTTTATAGGTTAGATTGATGAAAATGAAAAGTTTGTATGGAGTTATGGCACAAAACAAGTTTGTGCGGTTGAAAACAGCCAAAGATTGGGTGGTAAACATTTTTTGACCCATATATTTATTATTTGCAGAAAGTAGAGCTATCTGCTGCCCTTGATTTATATCTGGGCATTTCATTGTTGCTTCATTTCTATGTGTGTTGAGTATGAATAATAATAATATAATAGATGATTCAATTCATGTAAATCTTTGTGATAGTAAAGTAATGTATGGATAAAAGATCAGTTATCTACAATAGTAGAAGATATATTATCAGAGCAGTTATTATCAGAGTGTCAATTTTAGAATGTTTATTGAATTGTACAACGTTGAGGTATTCATAGTGATTTATTTATTGACAACTGTAAACAATAAGAATTTGTCTCAAAACTCAAACTCTGTGGTGAGAAATATTCCTTCAAACAGAACAGAGACAAGGTTCGATGCAATTGACCTAAGCAGGCACGAGTGCTGTAAGAACACTGTCCGAGTGAGTGCTTGGCCAATCAAATAGAATCAATCTTCGTTATGACAGAAGCGGCTTCGTAGGACCTCTGTTCGCTAATCCATCATTGTATATAAGACTGACTTTTGAAAATGGGATTCCGAGATATGCTGCCGTTATTTTCTGGAAATTTTTTTGGCAAGCATAACGCGTGAAAAAGATATCCCAATTTTCCACATAAATTTTTGGGCGAGAAAGCAATTGCAGTTCCGTGCCAAATTTTTCAGCCCTTCAAGATGAAGTAAAAAAATTTAGCTACTTTCACATTTTTTAAAAATAATATATAATATTTTAGATACTTTTACATTTAATATATAAAGAGGCTACCTATATAATATGATAATAGTAACTAAAAATTATCTAAAATCCCTCCTAAATATATTACTAAACATCATCTAATAATAGTAACTAATAATCATCTAAAATCCTGCCTAAATATATTACTAAACATAATAAATTATTTTTTCAACATAAATGCTAAAATCTAATTCCAATATAAATGCACAATTTGAGTCCACTACAGTTAGGAAAGTAAATTTCATTTTCGTATAATATATTATATTTCATATTTTTTTTCAATATAAATGCTAAAATCTGATTCCATAATATAAAAAACATATTTCAATTTTAGTTAATAAGATCATTCCATATATATGTTATACATATTTTATTGCTATGATTAAAATTATAATATTTTTATTTAAAGGCTATGGACACATGAGTTTGTCCCACAATCGACTCGATTATTGATAATTGGTGATACATTGTGTGCAAAGGTGCAATAGCAAGATGCATTGCACTAAGTGCACCCATACACATGGCACTGCACGGTTAGAATAAATTCTTTTTTTTTTTTTCATAATATTAAATAATTTTTAATTAATAAAGATACATGATTCAATTTGGAGTTGTTGATGCTTCTACAAATGGCACTTTCATATGTTGGATAGAGAGTGTGAACGGATGATTGACAAGTCTTATGAGCTTCTAAAACGTGAATTTTATGCGTTAAAGGTGACTAATATTTAATATAAAAATATCAACTACTTAAACTTTTACCAAACCAAGAATATTGTGTATAGAGAAATGTTTCATACCATATTATTTTTTTATACTTTGTATTCTTTTTTTTTTCTATTGTAATCAAATAATTAATTTTTAAGAAAAAATATTTAAAATAAAATTTAGAAAAAAGGGTTTGAGGAATAAACCCACCGTGCTACGCACGGGCGAGTACACTAGTTTGATTATATAACCTTTACGACCAGATTTATGTATATGTTTTATGACCAAATAAATAATGTTCTGTACAAGGATGTGTTTAAAAATATATAAGTTATTATTTTTTTTATTTCAATACATGCGTTTTACATTCTTCTAATCATCCAATCATCAAAATCTAAATGCTTACATTAATAAAATTAGCCCGTGCATCGCACGGGTACCGCACTAGTATGATTGTAATTATGGTATTGCAATTACTTAAATAATTGTTTGATTGTTTGTAATTTAATAATTAATTACTCTCTTGAGTTAATACTGTCATTAACAGAGTGAGATGTTAATTGATAAAGTATAACTCTCAAATCGCCTCAATCGATAATCATTAAGAAAATGATATTAATGATACTTGAAGATTGACATATGATCTGCATTATATTCTTGAAGAATATAGTATGTCTCACTACTATTAATAATTGTTATTCGTGATGGACATATAGATACATTGGAGAGTATTGGTATACCCTACCGATAAACCATTTGTTTATGTGTCTATGGAGTATCGGTGTGTGAAATTGTGTAATAGTCCTTTGACTTGAGGTCAATACAAATTCATGTATAGATTGATTTACTTAGACCTAGTCCAACGCTTACGCTCTATATGGGGTAGATATGTACTTGTGTTGGGTTGATCACGATATACATGGAATTAGTAGTTGAGCCAAGATTAGAATTCATTGCTCGAATGTAGTTTTGAGAGAATGCTCATTCTGGGTTGATAAAGTCATTGGCCAATGCATGTGATTATATTCGAAATAGTATTCAAATTGATTAATGTCAACCGATAAGATGAGATAAGGTGATTAAGTTATTTGGATAGACACACGTTCAAGTCCTAAGCTAAATCGAGTGGTTGGTGAATGAATGGACCGTATCACCATTGAGTTCTATACTAAAGGTTTTTGTCCATGGAAACGTACTTCGTTTGTTGAGTTCGTCCTTCGACGCAGTCTAGAAGTTCCGTAAGGATCATAAATTAGATTTATGTAAATATATGCACGCCTGTAGTGTCACACAATATGCAATTAGTTTTCCGGCTGAAAGAGATTCGAGGTTGAGGCAGGTTCACAAGTAGTGAGATTTTCTATCTAAGAGTCAATCGAGAGTGTTAAATATTCAATTAGATTGGAATACTTATTTATGAGTAATGAGATTATTTTTTATTTGATAAAAAATATTTAATTAAGTTATATTAGATTTATACTTAATTGAATTGTTATTGGACTAGATCCAATTACCTATTGAGCCACAGGATCTCCTATGGCCCATATAATTTGGTTTGACCTAATTATAAATACATCATTATCTCTTCACAGTCAAAGATCGAATAACTGAAATAAGCATCGCAACATCACAAAATGCTCTCTAGCTTTCTTGTTGTGGATTCCTATCTTCTTCATCGGAAGGGATTCATTGGTGTTGGATCGTGCACTGAAAAACTAGATTGCATGGATACCATAGTCGAGGGCAAAACTTACGAGCAACTGTAAGTTTTCGTTTCATTCACGCGACCTAAGATCATATTGAATAGCTATAGTTGGATCTTTGTAACAAAATTTTAAAATTCAGTTGCGCGTGCGCTAGGTTCAAACGTCTAAAACCCAACATATATGAACAACAAAAAAGAGATTATAGTTACTTTATTCATTTTAATTTGAATATAAACAACAATATTTAAAATTAAATTCTTAACAAATTAACAAATAAATTGTGAATTAAAGACAATATTTAGACTCCACAGTCTTCGTATAATATATAACTTACTTACCACCTCAATTTTTCGTTAGAAAGCGGCTAAATGTTACCAAAAAAAAAAACAAAAAATGAAAATAAACTTATGAATTTACTGAGAAAAGACCCTATTATTTATTCATTTATTTATTTATTTTGTTTTAGTTAATGGAAGTTAAGCTCAACATCTTACGTGTTCTGTCATCTACCTTAATATATTCCAACACCAGAGATTTTGCCATTTACAGTTACACCCCTTTCTCTCTCTTACCTTTAACAACTGTGTATATTTTCCTACTTTTATGAAAAATTATATATATGTAAGAGATATATCTCCTTTCCTCTCCTCTCCTCTCACCCAAGCCTCTAGCTAAGAAATTCCATTTCTTGTGATTATTTGTTTAAAAGGAGTGGAATAATAAAGAAAGAGAGAGACCTTTGGGAGAGAGAGAGAGATAAAGTGAGGGGAGAATGAGATTGAGGAGGAGCATACCTTCTCTTTTCGTTTATGCATTATATGCTTCCTCTCATTAGATCTTGGATTTTACCCAATCTCTTTCTATTTCTTCCCATCCTCACTCCTCCAACCTTAATCATTGTTGTTATGTTTTTCTCTGATTCATCTCCTATTCTGAAATTTCTGGTTTGAATCTCAATTTTCATGAATGAAGGATCCAATGATTTTACATTGATTCCTGCATTTCGTTTGATCACTGAACGCTTCCTTGTTTCCTGCCTCATTTTCTGGATAAGGTGTGTCATTTTGTTCCTGTTTGCTGGTTTACGTAAGGATCCATTGTTCTATTGCAATGAATCCTGCATTTTTTGTACCTGTTTATATGAATTGTGACTGCTACTTGGGTCATTGCTTAAATTTCTGGATAAGGTATAATATCATCTTTTCTTTTATATTTGCTTGCCTCCTTAATGATGCCTGGATCTATTATATAGTTTGTTAGTGATCATTACCACCTAGTTCTAATCAACAATCATCTCCACCTGCGCATTTTCGCAGGATCAATGACACCACTTTGATTCCATTGTACAAAATTGAATTGTCCCCCAATTTGAGATTTTCTCAGTGGATCGGATAGTTGAACTTTAAGTCTGTGTCAACTCAATTCACTGAAGAAAAACAATGGAAATGGATAATCAGGGCAAGCTCTTCATCGGCGGGATATCTTGGGACACCAATGAGGATCGCCTCAAGGAATATTTCGGAGCATACGGCGAAGTAGTCGAGGCAGTTATCATGCGTGACCGGAGCACAGGCCGTGCACGTGGCTTCGGCTTTGTCGTCTTCGCCAGCCCTACTGATGCCGAGCGAGTGGTCAAGGAGAAGCACACGATTGATGGCCGAACCGTGAGCTGCTGCTTTCACATAATCCATTATTTCTAATTATAAACTATTATTATTATGATTATTGTTCTTATTAATTTTTTTTTTATTTGTCAGGTGGAAGCAAAGAAAGCAGTCCCTAGGGATGACCGAATTCAAGGATCATCAGGGCCCGGCCGAACGAAGAAGATCTTCGTGGGTGGACTAGCGTCCACAGTGACCGAGGCCGACTTCAAAGGCTACTTTGACCAGTTCGGAACTATAACGGATGTTGTGGTGATGTACGACCACAACACCCAACGGCCGAGAGGGTTCGGTTTCATAACGTACGACTCGGAGGACTCGGTCGACCGTGTCCTCCACAAGACCTTCCACGAGCTCAACGGCAAGACGGTCGAAGTCAAACGGGCCGTCCCCAAGGAGCTCTCCCCTGGCCCGGCCCGAAGCCCGCTCGTCGACTACAACTATGGCTTGGGCCGCGCGGCGGCTGCCTCTTTCTACAACATGGGCTCGATTGGGATTAGAATGGACGGAAGGTACAGCCCGTTGGGTAGTCAGGATTACAATTATGGGAGAAGCCAAGAAAGGTACAACTCGCCTATAGGGTACAACTCGAGCGGGAGCAGGGGGTATTCCTTCCTCAGCCCGCCTTCGAGAAATGTTTGGGGAAATGCCGGTAATAGTGGGTTTGGAGTGTTTGGGGCCAATTGGGGGGATTCCCCGGGAGGCTCGGCTGGTGAGAACAGCTATGGCTTATTGGGGACGAGAGGGTTTGGGAGGAATAATGGTGCATCCTCATTTGTTGGGTCTGGTGGAGATTACGAGGGGTATTATGGGGATTTTTTTTACCGAGGTGGGTCCGTGTATGGGGACACCACCTGGAAGAATCAGGACAATTCTGGCTCATTTGGTTATGGTCTTTGGGGCTCAGAGGATGTTGGTGGGAAATATTCTGAGGATTATGTGGTGGGATATGATATCACAAATAGGCAATCTAGTAGAGGTAATCTTTTGAGCTGAAGATTTAATATTCTCGTCATATGTTAAGTGAAGGAGATGTTGCCTAGTTAAATTCCATTGGGTTCATTAGTTTGTTGTTTGATTAACCAAGGAAGTTGGAGACATAAAAAGTGTATCTGTAGTTGTTTGTGCTTAGCTGAAAGATCATACAAGTTGTTACATTAGCTTTTGTCAGTTCAGGACGTATTGAACGTATTTGCTGTAGTCATTTTACTCTGTACTGCTATTCTTCTTGCCATTCCTGAGATCCTATTGAAGAGAGCTACTGTCGACCCTAGGAAAAGTCTCACATGCTGCAGACATCAGAATGAGCATACATGTGTAACGTATTAATTTACAGTGTTGAAGTAAACATGCTAAGTGTATTATGAGTGACTCGGGACCATTTATTGAGATGTGTTCGAAGAAAAGAAAACCAGTACTTGCTAATTTGGCCGTTGAGCTTACGTATGTGGGCCCTTATTACGTTGTTTTAACGTTTTGCCTCTGCCTAAAAGACATTTTACTTATATTTTTTTATAAACTTTTCTAAAATATAAATATCAATTATATGTGTTTTTTTTTTAAATACACACAGTTTCTTTAAGGTTACCGTTTGATTATTTTCTTTTCATTTTAAATTTACTACATTATCTCTACACTGGTGCCAATTGAAACAGATATTGAAAGTAAAATAGAGTGTTCGGACACCAAAAATAAAAACGGAAGTAATTAACTTTAAAATCCTTTCGGGGAACGTTCACTATTCCTCAGAGTTCTTTTAGTCGGTTTGCGCGTACAAAGTACACATTGGTCTTACAAGACTCGAACTTCTTTCTAATCTAGCCAACACTATACTTGAATAGTTGAATCTATTAACTAGTCCTCTGGCCACAACTTCGTGGCCTTCAAACTAACTAAGAATCCCTCCCAGCTACAAAAGTACTTAATTGCTAAGTACGAAAAATGTTTGTAGAATCAGAAAACAAAACATAGTTCTTCAGTGGTGTAAGAACACTAAAAAACTGTTCACAAAAGAACTCTAAAACAAAACTCTCAAACACTCAGAAAAGTCTTCGAAAAAATGATAAGCTCCGATACGTGCAACAGCCTTCAACTGAGTGGATTTCCTTCATTCTTATTACCATATATATTTTTATCTACTAGAGTTTTGTATGTCTGTGAAAAGTTTTATATGTGCAACAGCCTTCAACAGCCGTCATTTCGATTTTCCTCTAAAAACCGTTACAAACTTTATCATTTATATCTCTGTATATATTTAATTATCAACAATAAATTTAACAATATTAATTATTGTTTACCATCTTTTTATGTTACAATCTTCTATTATTATTATTAATCCATCATATCTAATTAATGCTAAAATAATTCATTGCACTTTTTTATGGTTAATTAAGACAAAAACCGTTACATTTTATATTAATGGAGTAATAATTATATTATTTTATTATATCATATAATAACTATTATTAAAACTAATAACTATAGTTTACACTAAATGATATATGAAAATTACATAAACATAAAAAAATATTGTAAACTTTTTGCTAAAGTTATTTATTCTAAAATTAATATTATAACTTTTTATCTTATTTAGCGGTTGTATTTTTAAATAAGTTAATTTATTTTAATGTTATAGTAAAATTCCTTAAAATCGCATAATCAAATGTTATAATAAATTTAATATTTTTAAGCTAATAAATTGGCGATCTCTCAAAATTACATTGTTTATTATATTGTACGTAATTAATATAGTGGTTCATATGCAATCAAATAGTTATGTACTATTTAGTTTAACCAATGATCAAATTTTAAAACATAATATCATTATTTAATTTATATTTTTATTATTATATGCATAAATATAATTAATAATACTCTATGTTTAAAATATAATATCACTGTATAACTTATAATTTTAATACTATATGCATAAATATAAATTATAATATTCTATTTACACTGTACAAATACACAAGATCGAATACTAGTTTATATAATTGTTGCTATGTCATTTGACCCAACTATGTCAACTAACTTTTGGATACGGGACCCGTCCTCCGGATTCATAGGATTCTTCTCTCTTTTGTAATGGGAAAGAAAAATAAAAAGCGTCCGGATATTGCTCCCAACCCAACAGCTTAAAAAGTTGAATAAAAAAGTAAACAGCACGGGTTCCATTACCATCTGTTTTCCAAAATACATTTGGTCAAAGATATCTACAGTCAATTCACACATTATTCTTTCATACATGAACACTTGTTACATTCCTTGCGGGTTTAATGCACCAAACCTCCCTGTATTATACGAAATTTGCGCGTTTCCCCCATGTATTTTAAAAATTGCGTCAGACCCTCTTCTATTAAGGTTTTGTATGCGCGAAACACCCAAATTCGTTTTGTATGCGCGAAACACCCAAATAAAATTGCGTCAGACCCTCTTCTATTAAGGTTTTGTATGCGCGAAACACCCAAATTCTTTTTGTATGCGCGAAACACCCAAAATTTGGGTGTTTCGCGCATACAAAACCTTAATAGAAGGGGGTCTGACGCAATTTTTAAAATATAGAAGAGAAACGCGTAGATTTCGTATAATACAAGGTGGTCTTATATATTTTACCCCATTCCTTGCTAACTCAGTTGAGTCAAAATCCTGCAGTGAGTTAATCTCCATTTTCTTGAATGGGAAATTGTGGAAAAGTATCACTTGGGAAAAGAATCCAAGAACACAAACGCCAAAGCAAAGCTATCCCAATATACTTGTTTTAATGACAACTATAGACTTGATGCTCTACCGAAAAATGTTATCGATAGAGAGAGAGAACATTTATTTATGAAAAAAATAGCAGCAAGACTCCATTTTTTTGCCTAAATTTCATATCATCCATCCAACCAGATCAAAAAAGAAAAATAACCAAAAAAAAAAAAGAGTTATTTATCAGTCTCGAAAGCTTCTCCAGGTGGCCCTAGAGAATGTCGACAGTGGATGAACTCCAATGGGCACTGCAAGCCATAGAATCCAAAAGCCTTGAGACCATCTCTTTCCACCTCTCCCAACCAACCTCAGCTTCAGCCTCAGCCAGCTGCCACCAACAAACTGATGAAAACTCCCTCAAACTACACATCTCAACACAACAATTCTCCCACCTTCTCAATGCTATAACTAATTCCCAAAACACACGAATTATCAGACACCTGGAGTTCCACTCCGTAGAATGGGACCCACAATCAGCAAAAAATCTCGCGATTCTGCTCCAGACCGCCGAGCACCTGACCTTCCAACAAAACAAATTCGACGCAGAATGCTTGTCCCAGCTGTCACGAGCTCTGACGAACAACAAAAGCGTTAAACACATCGCGTTCTTCAAATCGGGCCTCGGACCAAACGGAGCTTCAGCACTCGCACGCGCTCTCAAGGACAATCAAACCTTGGAGGGATTCCAAATACGGGAGGACTCGATTGGGAAAAATGGAGCCGAAGACCTTTCACAAATGCTCGAAGCCAACTCGACCCTTAAATGTCTCACCGTTTTCGACCCTAACCCAGCCGTATCCGCCCCTCTAATCTCGGCCGTCCTAGCCAGGAACCGGGCCACGGAAGTCTGCATATGGAACGAGGGAAATAGTTCGAAAACGGCCGAATTCGAACCCGAAAAGGGCTCTCTCCGAGTGCGCGGCCACCTGGACGTTGCGGGCGCGTGCCGGGTCACTTGTGCCTTGGGCCGGAACTCGACCGTGAGATGTTTAGACATGAGCGGGCTCCGGCTCAAGTCTCGGTGGGCCCGGGAGTTTCGGTGGGTCCTCGAGCAGAACACGACCCTGAGAGAAGTGAATTTGTCGAGAACGGGCCTTAAGGATAAAGGAGTTGTTTATGTGGCGGCCGGTCTTTTTAGAAACCGGGCCTTGGAAAAATTGTATCTTGATGGGAACTCGTATAGTGGAGTGGGCGTGGAACATTTGCTCTGTCCTCTTAGTAAATTCTCGGCCTTGCAGAATCAGGCAAACACGGTTTTAAAGAGACTTAGTTTTGGAGGAGGAAGGACTAAGATCGGGAGAGTGGGACTTGCTGCCATTTTGCATTTTCTGTCGAGCAATCAAAGCATGGACTGGTTGGGTATACACGACGACGGGAGTTTGAAGCCGTATGCAATAGTGAAAATCTTGGAGAGCTTGAAGAGGAATTCGACTCTGAGGTGTTTGTCCCTCCAGGGCTGCAAAGGGGTGAAGGGAGAACAAGTGTACCGGGCCATAATGGAGACACTGGATGTGAATCCGTGGATAGAAGAAATCGACCTCTCAAGAACACCACTTGAGGCTGAGGGAAAAATGGAAGACATAATTCAAAGGCTAAAGCAGAACGAGACAAGTGGGCCTGGAGAGATTGATTTGCTCAACGATATGGCCATGACTATGTCTAGAAGCTGTCGGGTTTTTCTCTGTGGCCAAGAATGCGCTGGTAATTAACCTAAGAAATTTCTCTATCTTTTTTCTTGTGGAAACCGGAGTTTGAAACTTTTTCACGGCAACTGCAGGTAAAACTACGTTGTTCAATTCGATATTGCAGAATGTGTCACCTTCTAGAGTGCCATACATGGGCCACGTGAGGAGCTTAGTGGACCCCATCGAGCAAGCGGTTAAGTTGCCTGGCATGAGTATCAAGAACTTCAAGGATGAAGACACAAGAATCTCGATATGGAATCTTGCAGGCCAGCACGAATCTTTCTCACTCCACGACCTCATGTTCCCTGGCCATGGCTGCTCGTCCTTCTTCCTGATTGTTTGCAGCATGTTAAAAAAACCAGGCAATAGAGAACTGAAAACCCTGACCGAGATCGAAGAAGATCTCAATTACTGGCTCCGGTTCATTGTTTCCACCTCGAGAAGAGCCGTTCAGCAGTGCACGCTACCTAGTGTGACGATAGTGCTTACTCATCACGATAAAGTCGATCAGCAGCCGGATGATTTCCAGAACACAGTGAATATGGTACAGAGACTGAAAGATAAATTCGAAGGGCTCGTTGCGTTTTGCTCGACTGTGTTCACGGTTGACGCAAGATCATCTGGGTCAGTCAGCAAGCTCAGCCAACATATCTCAAGAACTTGCAAGACAATACTCGAGAAGATTCCTAGAGTTTACCAGCTTTGCATTGACCTGGTGGAAATTTTATCCGAGTGGCGTCGGGAGAACAACGACCGACCATCGATGAAATGGAAAGAGTTTTCCGAGCTATGCCAGGTCAAGGTCCCGTGTCTGAGAATTCAGTCGAGGCACGATAACAGGGAGAGAGTCGAGACGAGGAGGAAAGCAGTGGCTACGAGTCTTCACGAATTAGGGGAGGTTATTTATTTTGACGAGCTGGAGTACGTGATTCTTGACTGCGGGTGGTTTTATGGGGAGATGCTGAGTCAGATGTTGAGGATTGATTTTAAGAAGCATGTTCCGAAGGAGAATAATGGGTTCGTGTCAAGAGAAGAGTTTGAGAAGATTCTGAGAGGGAGCTTGCAGAGTTGTAGCATGATGGAGAATCTGGATGCTAATGGTCTTATAAAGATGATGCTGAGACTCGGGCTATGTTTCGAGCAAGAAAATTCTTCAGATTTGGGTTCGGCGCTGCTGGTACCATCGAGTTTGGAGGATGGCAGGTGGAAGCCTCAGAGATGGCTGGTTGACTCTGCTGATAGCAATTACGTGGGAAGGCGTCTTCAGTGTGATGAGTCGAGCCACGTGTTTTTGACACCCGGTTTCTTCCCGCGTTTACAGGCAAGTCTTGTTTTCTTTCCTGGTTATTTTATTTATTTATTTATTTTGTTTTCTATTTTTATTCTCAAATGAAGAATGAAACATTTGGAGAAACAACAGGTTCTTGATAGGAACTGAAAAGCAAGTAACCTCTAGGAACTCTTAACAGGAGAATTCTTTAAGAATCAGAACCTATAACTTTGCCAAGATTTTACTTGATAGGACAATACTTTAGATTCTCATGTAGACAATTTCCCTGTAACAACACTATTAATTTCCTCAACTCTAGGTACTTTTACACAACAAAATCACTAAACTGCGCGAGCAGCACGGAGCAGCATCGTACACCCTCGAGAAGCATCTGATCTCCATAACCATAAACGGCATTCACGTCCGCATGGAGCCCGGAGGGCAATCTCGTCATTACATAGACGTCCTCGCATGCTCCTCCAAGAGCCCCACCGAGATGCTCAGACTCTTTCAGCACTTCATAACACCATCCATACAACAGACCCTCTTCCACGGACCCACGCTCACAGAGCACGTGATCCGACCCCAATGCGTAAAAAACCTCACTCCCCCAAGACACCGCCAAAACCACACAATCCCCGTGCAGCAACTAAAACTCGCCCTTCTATCACTCCCCGCCGACAACATCTACGACTACCAGCACACGTGGCGCGACGGGTTCGACTTTGCCCGCGACCTTCTCTCAGATGACGACTTTCGAGACGTGCTTCACTCCCGATATCACGATCTGTACAACCTCGCCGTGGAGCTTCAGGTCCCGCCTCAGGAGAACGGGGAAATAGTCGAAGCCTCCGTGGACCCCACGCTGGGCGGCATAGCCAAGGGCGTCGAGGCCGTTCTGCAAAGGCTGACGATAATCGAGCAGGAAATACGAGACATGAAAAGGGAGATCCAAGGGCTGAGGTACCACGAGCAGCGGCTGTTGGGCGAGCTCCACCGCAAGGTCGGGTACCTCGTGAACTACAGCGTGCAGCAAGAGGAGCGGAAGGTGCCAAACATGTTGTACTTCGCGAGGACCGATAATTACTCGAGGAGATTGGTCACGAGCGTGGTCCCCGGCATGAAGGCCATGCGGCTGCACATGCTGTGCGAGTTTCGAGGAGAGATGCACGTGATTGAGGATCAAGTGGGGTGCGAGGTGATGCGTGTGGATAATGAGGCTGTCAGGTGTTTGGCGCCGTACGTGAAGGGTTTTATGAGGCTGGTGACGTTTGCATTGAAGATAGGGGCCCACCTGGCGGTGGGCATGGGGGAGATGATACCTGACTTGGGTAGGGAGGTGGCCAGGCT